GCGGAACAAAAATGTGCTTGAATATTTTCGGAGTTGAGGAGCTCCGCAAGTGGCTGCGGGGGAAGCCTGTGCCAACCCGCGGGAGGAGCGCGTGAGGCCGGCCAGCCGCCCGCTCACAGAGCCCTCTGCTCCCACCGTCACACAGACCGCTGCAGCAACAACGGCAGAGCAAAACACAGCTGGAAGGTTGAAACGTTTTAACTTAAAAAAGAGAAAGCTGTGTGGATCGCTGGTGTGTGTGTCGCATTGAACATTACGTCGCGGCAGTTGTGTGTGGTGTTGCTATGACTACAAGCTACGTACTATCTCTGTCTGCAATGGAAAACGGAGCAGGGCCGAGTAGAGTCGAGTCTATCGATTTGCGCTATGGTAGCATTTTTCAGTAAGGCAGCATAGATCGTCAGAACACCGGCCACAGTTCAACGTTTAGTCCTGATGGAAAGATGTGGAACATGATGTTGTGGACTTGAGAGTAACTTATACTATCTGCTAGGTTATGGTCTCAGTCTGAAGCGGCTGTGATTTGGATCACGCTACCTTGTTTCTTAGGACCCGCCCTTCTCTGCCTCTGATTGGCTAGTAGTCCTTACCTGGGAACTGCGCATGTGCAACTCCCAACAAAGAATTTGTACAAGTAAGATGCATCACTCTGTAGCTCAAGAGCGGAGCGTACAACACATAGGGTGAAAAGAGGAGCTGCAGCAATGTGCAGTATGAGAAAAATATGGTGTTTTTTGAAAATGAAACCATTTAAACCTGTTCTGGTACAACCCCTAATTAAGATTTTGAACCTGAAAATGAGCATAATACCACCTCTTTAATGTAAACTTCTGCACTACACGTCCTGAATTCAAAATGTTACTAGAGGTATAGCAGTTATATCAGCAAAATGTACCCAAAGTATTAAAAATCGAAATACCCGTCAGTCTTTTATAATATTATAGCATTATCATTACTCATGAATTACTGTGTAAGCAGCATTTTAAAGCTACTGTTAGGTAGTTTAATCTACAACAGTGCATCACATATTATGAGCTGATTATATATTATAAATGTGAGCAACCTTCAAAGTTAGACATTATGTCCTAATAGCCCAATATTTATGAATACTCCTTAAACTGATTAATATATGTTCTGCACTGTGCAACCACAGTGGAAAATAATCCTTGTAATTGTGGCTGTGTGTTTATTAATTAGAAGGTGTGAAAGGGAATTAGGAGCTCTCCTCTAGTCCCCCTAAACCTACAGCATAGCCCTGAGGGGGCCATTTAGCAGGCCTCAGGAGAACTGAGGCACTTATAGAACTCAGTTGGGTGGGTAGGGCAACCCCAATGAAATGAAACCCAGGGCTCCCACATAAGAGTCCTCACTTACTTTTTTGGCACACTTATTCCCACACTTGACACACATACACGTGTTCTCCACACACATGGGACACTTAGAAATAAGTTTATGCACTAGGTAATGAGCAACGGGTACAGCACAGGCCAAAACACGCACTTTGATGTAAAGATGTAAAGCTGTCTTTACATGGGTTGAATCAATTAGAATTGGTTACTTTAACGTTTTCCAAATGTTTCATTAAAAAAGCAATGTGTTTGGCTGAGGTAAAGGCTAACAAAGCTACAAGATCTGGTAATGCAATACACGGGCAGGGGGCGGGGCCAACAGGTGCGCTGCAAGTGCAGGTGTAGGCCTAGTCATCTGGCTTTCTAGAATACAGGCTACTTTAAATAGGGAGGATTTGGGGGGGTTCCCGCCCTTTTCAGTTACTGTCTGCAACCAAATTAACTTCCCTAATGTAAATAGCTTACTGCAGTAAGACTGTTGTATTGAATTTACAGTTAAAGCGCATTTAGGTCGCATTTCGTTATGATCAGCATTTTTTAATCAGAATTAGGATAGGACCTTAATTAAAATGTCTTCCTAAATCACTCAATTAACAAGATTGGCCAACAAAACTGTAGAAGAAGTTATGTCCCGTCCAGATGGTATAAATGTGGGATAGGCTATGATTAATGATCACATATGATAGGCTACATTTTATACATCACTATTGCTGATTTTTTTTAAGTACACACAATATTTGAGGAGATATATCAGCTCCTGAGCTCTCACAGTAGCCTGTATTGTGTTGACTATAATCGAATCCATATATTGACTCACCTTAGTAGCCGACGTATGATCCCCTGGATATCTAAAGAGAAAACTAGAGAGGCGAGCTACAGACAACGGCCCGCGTCCTTCTGCTGATCCGCTGCTTTGTGTAAATGAAAAGCTGTCTCACTAGTTTCCACCGGCCTGTAGGTTATGCAGACTATGAGAATAACACCACACCCACAAACCTACTCGAGCTTTTACCACTCACCTGGCTCACAGATCATGGAGTGACTATAACGTGTGTTTACGCAGCACCCCCCCCCCCAAAAAAAACAAAACAACACAGTTCTTGGATCAGAAGGAGGAGCCGATGTGTTGATTGTAGCTCTCCTTCAGCCCTGTAAAGCCTGCTGCTTCGTGCAGCATCTTTAAACTTTCTCCAGTCCGTGTCGCATTCTTCTGCGCATCTGTCCCACCATGCTGCAGCCCGACGCCGCCCCGCAGTAGCTACCTTCTCTGACGTGTAGGGCAGCGGCAGCAGCAGCAGGAGCAGCAGCCAGGATAACAGCATGGAAAAACAAGCCGAGGCTGCACAGACGCCACACTTATGCACTTATACCGCAGCGTAGGGATGTTTATATTAGGCATTATAAATGCAGTCTTTGCATAGTTCAGAAACGTAGCTAAACCATTCACTAACATTCCTGTTTCTCTCTCCTCCTCTGTGATAGGTAAGGACTAAATAAGAAACAAACTGGACATATTTTCACTAGAATATATTGCAGATTTTTTCGCAGCCTTTTCAGTGCATGCAGAATGTACAGGACCTGTGTTCTCAAAGTAATTTTGGAGATTAATGTTATCAGCAATTTTGAAACAATTTCTCTTTTGTATATCTAGTCTATGCTTTTCTGCATTTTGGTGGCAGATACATGATTACATTACATGACTGATAATGCTATATTGAAACCAAGAAACTCAGGGCCAGAGAATTGACTGATGCGTTTGACTGCAGGTGCTGAATCCATAAACCTATCAGGCACCAACCACAGATTTTACTAACTCAAGCGGCAGCTGGGTCTCAAAAGCCTACTACGCACACTCACAAAATACACAAAATATATTCAGAAAAGTATTAATTTAGCATCTCTTCTCTTCAAAGTCACTACCTAAAGAGAAAAAAAAACACAGAGGGAAATCCAAGTACAAGCTGAGAAGCTGCCCCTTTGTTTTGATGCAATCCCACATACAGTGAGAAAAACTGTACAAGTGTCACAAGAATGAGGACTGGTTTAAAGTCTAGACGTATTGTATGAACATTTTCCACTTGCAGAGATTTAATACCTCTTTGTAGTATCAATATTGACTGTGTGTCTTTTCATGAACTGGCCTGATCTGCTCTGCTAAAAGTACTTTGGAAATCATTATTCAAATCAGACAGTAAGCCTCCTTAGACCTTAATAGCTCAGATGTTGTTGAGACTCAAAGCTCCAACAAGATCTCACTAGTCTTTTTATACTTAGAATGTGAGTCTGTAATACTAGAAATTAGGTTAAGGGGGTTAGAGGCAAAACATTGGGGTCACAAGGGGTCAGTTTGTGCACATGCAAAGATGCTGAGGAAACCAGGCCAACATGAGGGTGCTCCACACAGTTGTTGCCCACCCCTACCAAAACCAACCACACACACACACACACAAACACCCAAAGAGGTTTCACCTCATTCACTTTCCCAAGTAGATCTAATTACCATTAACAACCAGCTCAGGTTTGTAAAAAACAAGACTGGGCCGTTTCCTCCCTCTTCAAGTTAGAATGCAAGACATGTAACAGACTAATACACACTGTGATACACACATTCCTCCGGTGGCTTAGATTACATAAAGCTTCATATCAGAAAGGTCTCTGCACAGCTATGCAACAAAGCTAGAGACAAAATAAAATAAAAACAAACGCTTTAATTCTACGTTAAATAATGGTTTGGATTTAATGCAGCAGGCTGTGTGTGCGCAAATGTCATGGTTTTACCTTCCCAAAATGATCAGAGATCTTCAAAAATGTTTGTGATATAAATGCTGCCCCTTCAAGTTATTTTAAAGGGTGCATTATACTGCAACCAGATAATACAGGCACATTCTCCCCTGGGTTTCTAACTATTTAGAAGCGGCAATATACAGCTACCTTTGGTTAGGATCAAGATATATGCATGTGTGTGCAAATGTAATTGTGTCACACTATAGAGTGGAATCTAGCATTGATTAAGTGTGGATTTGTCAATGAGTGTACCTATGCAGTATAAATGGTGACAGGTTGGAGTTGGGAACTGTTTACACATGAGCCATGGCTCCAATCAGTTGATCATATCACATATCACTTCAGATTGTATGAGGACATCAGTGTTGTTAATAGGGGCCTTGATTCAAACCTCATAAGCCCATATCGCAGTACAGACAGCTCTTTCTTGGACTGAAAAGATGGTTCAGCCGGATGAGTATTTGAATATTGCCTATGTTAGCCAAATGATGCCATTAACAGGCCTGGCTGGGGTAACTATAAGTGTGGCTATTTGAATACATTACCCCCCTGTTCTTAGTGGCCCAAAGCTCCCTCTGGTGGATATGTACAGCCAAGATGACATGATGATGAAGATGAAGTCACCGTGTCCCAATTTCTACATACTGATTCGAAGCAAGACAGTATGCACACAAAAAACATTTTGACGTCTTTTAGCAAAGTTTAACTGGCAGCAGCTTTCCAAAATTGCCCATTGACTGATTTGACATCACACGTTTTGTATAATTTCTCTGACGATTATTACATTGTATATACAGTTCAGAATTAGTATGGATATGGTACACAGCTAATGTCTTGCATACGCAAACAGAAAATATTCATAAAAAGTGTGCATTGGGACAAATATTTATTTCGATAGTGAACCAGAAGCACTCCATTTCCACATCACTTCAAAATTTTACATGTCAAGGGGAAAAACACTACTTTGAAAAGAGCCAAAAATGTTAATTTTGTAGCGTCAGTGTGATAGATCCACTGAGATGAGGTGGACAAGATTAATGATCAGTTGAAACAACTGAAAGTCCAGTTTTTCAGCAGAAACTTATTTGTGACCATTATAACCCATAGTTTATGGGGTTTAACTGTATTGAGTCATTACACCACAGTCTGATTATGAGCTGTGGCTCTTTTCAGTATGAAACATTATTTGTCAATGGTTCAATCAGTCCTCAATCTGCTGTCGGGTTAAAATCAGAGGCCTCAGCTTTGTGTGTAATTGCATCACTGTAACATCAGCAGATCTGTATTTCACAGATCAACTGGTCTTTGTCACAGAGGCAGGATGGCGACTGGCTATTCTGTCATCATATCAGCACCCTCTTCTCCTGTGGCATCTGTTAGGCTGAGCTCCTCCAGCATCTCCATCAGGGAGATCCGTGGTGCTCCATCATCATCAGTGTCGCTCTCCACTGGGATCTTTGACGCATCTGAAATTCAAAAATCAACCTCCATTCATTCAACTATCTAATACATTGTCTAATAAATGGTGTATCATTAGATTTACCAGCAAACAGAAGCAGTCATTAACAGTAAATGAGCCGTATCTTAACTATTTAAGTTGAAACAATGGAAACAGAAAACATGGCAACAGAAGGACTTAAGTCTCTGGGGTTTCAAGCGAAGTGAAAAGGTTGTTCACCTCTGTAGATGTTAACATTTTTCCTCAGAGCCTCATCTTCCTCCAGGTCCTCCAGGAAGTCCTGGTATTGTCTGAAGACAGAAAAGCAAGTTACAGGAAAACCCATGTGGTACGACGAAAAAAAAAAATTCACAGGATACTTGGCCTTCTTGGCACATTTTCAAACTATTCACTAACCAAAACAATGTCATGTCTTAAGCAACCATTTCAGTTATGTTAAGTGTTTTTCCTTATTTTCTGCGCCAGAGACATTTGTGCAGAAAACAAACTCATAACCTCAAAATACACTTGAGGATAAAACTTGTTTATTCAGGTTGGTATTTTCGAAAGGACAGGGTTGTCTAATTTTATGCACCTAATTTTTTGCAACTGGATACGATAATTTAAGCATTCTCGCATTTAGGGATAAGCCTAGGGGCATTCTACATTTTTGTTATTGTCAACATGTCCCACAAAAAGACTAAAACCAACATGAATTGATCCTACAAACACATATTACCTGCGTAGCCAGATACGAGGTAGCCGATATAGCTTATTCCTTTGTCCAAAAACACATACATGAACCACACCGTTGCAGTGAGCGACATGTTTTTTCATCACAATGACCACGGGTACTGCAATTTAATTTGTCAATCCAAGAAACTGTTCTCCTACTGTAAATACTCAATAGAGGACCAAATATGTATTACTTTATGAATAAAAATAATGCACTATTTACTTCTGTTTGGCTGTGATTGCAAAGATACATTCTTAAACCTTTAAAGCATTCAGATCAAAAGAATTCACTAAATCTGCATTATTCTCCTACCTCTCATCATCTGAGTCCATGCCCTCACGGTCTCTAGGCATCTCCTGCAGTTTCCAGTTCCTGCGCTTCACCCTCCTGGTGCGGTCGTAGCTCTTCTTGATCAGCACCTTAGAGAGTCCACATTCAGGATGTACAAATTAAAACACTAGAACATAGTGCATACACACACTTTTCTTATATTATGCTATGCAGGAATGTTGTATTGTTCCAAGAATGTGATCAACTCTACAGCCAGTATTTCATGTTGCCACTAGGGGTCAGTGTTAATCAAGTCGACAACAGCCACTAAAGGCATTGTCCCCAGCCCAGGTTCATTTACTGAGGATGTTCAGTGGAGCGCAGGTGAGTCTTACCACATCAGGAATGTGGTGAGGGTTCATCTTATTGAGGTACTCATCATTGACGTTGGAATTGGCAAAGTCAAACCTGTAGGGTGAGAAGTCAGGTTTATTTATAAGGCCCCATGTTTCCCAAACTTATGGTCGGGACCCAAAATTGGTCACAGGCCCATTTTTATTGGGTCGCCAATTAAAATTCTTAATGTTACAATATGTAAATATGTGAATGAGCATTCTTTTTTACTACACGTGTATGTTCAACTATGGTTCAGCTCAGATGCTGTGTGAGGTTCTCGCTCTCTCTCTTCTCTTAAAACTGATCTTCAGTCCACATTCATACAAATTTTTTTATCTGTAGTCTTTGATCTGTCACTGTTGATCCTATGATGTCATAACTAATGTACAAGGACGAGTTCATAGAAGCTTCACTGTGTAATATGTGGAGAAGTGCTCAGGATTGAGGGTTTGGTTTTAAAATGAATAAATTGGACACATATCTCCAAACAAAACATTTGCTGTATCTGGGAAAGTCAAAACATTTTTTTAAATAAGTCTTTCATAAATAAATTTTAAATACTTGGTTTGTTTTGCCCGTAACCCGTAGTTTGTAAATGTGCATTTAGGTCCCAGGGAGATTTCTCTATCTGGTCTTGAGCTGAAAAAGTTCAAAGTGATGTAGCCCATTATCACAAATTTTTGTCAAGGAGCTACAGCATAAGTCACTCTGTCCTTAGACCCTCAATTCAAATGACAAAAAATAAAATAAAAAAACTTTTAATGGGGGAAAAAAACCCTCACTCCCAGGACAGACACCATGCAATAGATGTCGTGTGTAAAGAATAAACCAACATAATAAAATGACAGTATGGGCAATCACGACAACATTATTTTGAAAAGATTTAGATTTTTTGTGCAAATGGACTTCAGGTCAAATACCTAAGCCACTTAAAGTAAAGCTCACAGCCTGCTGACAATCTTTACTGCCAACCTGACAAACATCTGAACTTCTCTTCAATAACCTCACACTCACCCCATCACCAGGTCTCCGATGTTGAGCAGATGGCCGAGGAATGTACGGCAGTGATACTGCTGACTGGTGTCCATCTCTGATGTTTTCTGAACCCACACCTCAGCCAGGGTGTGCTGCAACACACACACGGAACATAAATTAGTTCCAAGACATTGAAACATTACTCTTTTCCTCCAATTGTTTCGACAGTTTCATCAATACTAATGCAACATTCAGACAGAGGAAAGAGATAGCGAACAGTTTCCCTACAAGCCTCATTCCCTCCGCCATCAAAACAAACGCTCCAGTGTGTTTCTGTCATTTTGGCTTGAATCCCGTATATACGAGGAGTTCAAGGATAATGTAATGGTTCGCTATTGATTTTGCTTCCAGGAGAAAAGCAATGTTCCACCATAATGCAATCTGTTCTGCAACAATACACAAACACACACACACACACACACCCACACCCTCACCTTATTGGACTTCATGCCTGCTCCAGCACCCAGCTTCTGGTCTCTGATGATGTCGATGTCCATAACAATGAACTCCTCCAGCTGCCGTGGGTTACATAGACTGTTGAAGGGGTTACGCCAGTATGTGTTCCCATCCACCTCGGCAACTAGTGAGTAAGAGATTATTTATGCATTTATTAGCGACAGTTCTATACTGATAAGACAAGTCTTTAGAGCAAAATGTGAGCATGAAATAAATCACATGCCTTTCATCCACCGTCATTTTGTAGAAAGCTTTTCAAGAGATGAGTCACTCTTAGTACATTTGATTGTTTCAGATATTTCTGAAAAGTCAAACTTCAACATATTCTCAGTTCCTTTATCAAAAAGCCATATGGGTACTACAAATAATGTGAATCCGTGCGTTTTTCCATCTGTACATATTCCAAATAAACCAGACAGAATAATGTGTTTCTATGTTATCCGATTAAATGAAACAAGCAGACAAACACACCGCAAATATTTTTAATACCGGAGTTAATTTCCTACTGCTGTCCAAATCTGCCGAACAGAGGTCTGCCTCGAGGCCGTTTCTGCTTCAGTTTGTTAAAAAACCTTCTGCAACAAAAATAGCCTGCTCTTTGAAGAGTAATTAAAAACGTGTGTGCCGCTTCCATAATGTCAGAATTCTGTTGAGGAGCCTCTCAGCCTCTCACACAATGAGTGATTACAGCAGATACAGAGGAAACACATCGCTAATTGTCACCATACTTGTAGTGAATATAAATACATCTAAATAAGCCGCCTTTGCTATGACAGCATGCATAACGCAAAACAAAAGAAAAAATTTGTTTGTGATGTTTGTGTCGCTTTGTCGTCGTGTGTTGTGCCGTGAGTGGGAGCAGAGGGAAGCTGTTGAGTTAAGACAGCTTTGATGAACATGTGGTCAGCAGACCGGGGTTCGTTTAAAACAGCACTGAAGGTTTTCATGCAAAACTTGTAGCAGTTATTACCAAAGTGTAAATTCTAAAATCCAACTCAAAAGCGTAATAAAGTGTCGAGGGGAAACAATTAGTAAATCAACAGAACATTATTGAGCAACTATTTTGATGATCATTTAAATGTTCAAGTCATTTATCAAAAATGTGCTGGTTCCAGTCTTATGTAACAGTAAACTGAACTTCACAGACATCCCCCGTGGGCATATTTTTACTACTTTCTGACAAAACAATTTAAAGAATAAATTCAATAATGTTGGTTGCAGCAGTTATGAAGTGAGCGGTCTAATCTAGGGCTTCAACTAGGGTTGGGCGATGTCTACAAAATTTCCATCGGACGATGTCTACACTGAAACATCAGGATGGACGATGGCATTGGGGGTGCACTCGCACACGTGTGGCGGGGATAGCGGTCGTCTTAAGTGTTCACTCACACAGACTTCAATTGGTTAAAAACTTGGTAGCCTATGACATTACAAGTCACAGGGGATATTTTACAAGCACGGACCAGGTAAAGCAGCAGTGAACACACATGGCGCAGATGTTGGTTTCGGCTGTTTGATAGGCTGCATCATAACAAGCCCACAAGCGGCTTACCTGCTGCCATGATAATAGATCGCTGGTGGAAATATGCAGAAAATAGTTCTGTGTCTTTTTGGCGACTTTATAAAACGTAGGCTACTGCTGATGAAGAAAGTGGATTAGACAGGTGAGGGGGTGGAGACAGAGAGAGGCGGGGCAAGCCGGTGTGTTTATCTGAAGTGTAGGCTTCTTGTGTGTCTGAATGTGGGGAGAAGAGAATTCCAAAGAAGGTGCAAAGCATATTTAAAATTTATTATAATAATAATAATAATGTTCGTGATGATTAAAACTTGCTTTCACATGGAGTTTTTTTTTTTTTTTTTTTTTTAACCGGGGTTACAATCATGATGCCTGCTCAACCATCGACCATCTTTCAGACATCGCCGATGGACAATGGCATCGTCTATCGGCCAAACCCTAGCTTCAACTAACGATTATTTCATTTCATGGGCAAATGTCAAATCGCTTCTGTGATTACAAGGTAACTTCTTCAAATTGCACAACAAACAGTAAAAAGTTATTCAGTTTACAGTGATTTAAAACGGAGTTAAACTCCTCTTGTCTTTCATAATGTCTACACATAGAGCTTACATTACTGAATAAATGCATGTAATGGATCAACTACAAAACAGGTGACTACAACCAGATACACCAGCTCCATTAAAACCACTACAGGATGAGATGTAGTTAAACCTGTTAATACTCAGCAGTACTCTGGCAGTAGAAATACTCACTTTGCAGTGTGTTTGGATCGATGAGGTGAATGGTGCTGGTGACACGGACGCACACACAAACTTGACCCATGTTCCCCAGGCTCTGCGCCAGTCGTGGTGAAAGGCACACTACGTTGTCCTGGAAACCAGTCAAAAAACAGACAACATGGGGTCAAACCGAGGTCGAAGGGAAAGTGAAAAGACTTTGGATTTGGTACTGAAAAAGGTCACAACGAGTCCAAAAGCTCGTTTCCCAAATGAAGGCTCTTGTTATCCTAAAACTGAGATAAAGGCTCTGTTGGGATTAAAACTTCCTGCTCTAAACAGTAAGAATAAGATGGCTGCTAAGATTTTGAATCTAATCCAGTTAAAATGATGATATCTGTGGATTGCAAAACAAAGAACTATTCAGATTCCTGTTTTCAAAATACCCTGTGTGACCCATGTTGCTCAAACACTGAACTTAAAGCTACATGTCAAATGGGAATAAGAAAGAACAAAATACACACCTGCCAAGAATCTAACTTATCACTACATTTTTTTAACATAAAAATTAAAATCGGCCTCGAGGCAGACAGCTCTCTAAAAAAAAAAAAAAAAAAACCTTTTTACCAAACTAACAAAGTAAAGGCTTGACGTGATGTTTAAAGAAATATGACAGTTCTGGCTTGTCTGAGGTGTTGAGCAGATACGGGTGTGTCTCAAAATCCCACTTAAATTAAAAGCAAATAAAATCACATTTCCGTGTACCTTGCAGACAGGTACAATCTCCATAGAGAAGGTGCTCTTATAGTTGTATGTGTTTGAATGGATGTCATGTGAGATGAGGCGCTGGGATGTCTTTGACCTTTAAAATCGAAAAGAAAGAATTTATTATTATTATTATTATCATCATCATTATGCAGAGACACAGCAGAGCAGAGTTCACATTGTCCCTGTTGGACAAATCAGAACAACAAAAGGGGCATTAACACAATAAGATGTTCCGTTCACATGGAAAAGAAAAGTATACTGTGCTTTTTTTTTTAGGAATCCTGTGGGTCAAGGGATTCCTGTGGGATTCCCGCAGGATGGGAGTCAATTTCACTATTCATAACGGGACAGGAAAAAAAGAACAGAAAAAGAAATGTCAAGCGGAGTGGGGGGGGCTTTATTTGATAGAACAGCTGAAGGGATAGAAAATTGGGGGGGGGACAGAGAGAGAGGATGACATGCAGCAAAGGGCCGTGGACTGGAATTGAACCCAGGCCGCTGTGGTAAGGACTTAGCCTTGTACGTGGTGCTTCTACCAGATGAGCTAGATGAGTGCGTACTACACACTACACACTACACACCTACTAGCAAATTATTTTTCTGTTACACTGCCACATTTGCCCATACATTTCGGGATTGTTGGATGAAGAGAGCAGGACAGACATCACTTTGAATCCTCTTATGATTTGCATTTAAATAAAATGGGGTGTGTTGTTCTAATTATGAGCACAATGTTTTCATCTGCACAGACTTGAAGCGTTGCTCACCTGCAGGGAACGGTGCACTGGAGGAAGTCGACCATCTTCTGAGCGTGCTGCTTGGTGCCGTAGTAGAAATCAATCCCATCTACGAGAAAAGAGCGATACCATCAAATGCTCCACCAGTAAATTCAACACATGTGCACTTTGCTGCATGCAAACAACACACATAAGAGAGCAGACAAAGATAGATGAATAAAATATGGCGGCCACATGCAACCTTCATAAAGCTTTTAAGTCCTGCCGAGATGTGGAGATGATTTAAATTACGCTCTCAGCCAAAACTCCACTTCACAGTCCCGTCCAAGAGCACGGAGAGCTGCTGCTGAGCTGCCACTCAATGCACAGCATGTGTGCTTGTGTGTCTGGATGCCTCTGTGTGTGTGTGTTCGCGTGTGTGTAGCAGTTAGCATCTCTAAATCAGGTATGGCATGCCTGTTCTGATTACAGCACGCTGATTAGATGCCCAACGCATGCCCCTCCGAGGCCCACATGAAGACAGCTGTATGGACTGATTGGCGCCAGGGATATGCATGCATGGCTTGCTGTCTGGTACGTGGGAGGGGTAATTAACACTCGACACATAATTATGTTCTGCTTAGTTCTAATCCACATTAGTTATGCTGGTGACGAATGAGACAAGTTTCCCACTTTTCAGTGTAATTTGGTTAGAGGCCCTACAGAACAGTGCAGGCCCCTCCCTTTAATGATAAGTACAGCATCATACATGAATACATTTATCATATAAATCATATATCATAGTCCTACCATGGATTTCTTTGATGTTGAGGGCATTCTGGTGGAGTTTATGCTTGAGGATCAGCTGCTCTAGGTAATAGAATGTCTTTTTATGAACAGTCTGTAAATAGAAAAAGATTTTCAGCATCATCATTATCATACAGCTCTATAGATACCCCCAGCCATGCCCCAATTATTTAAACATTTATAGGTATGAAACTCAGATGAACTGCTTGCCGTCTGCAACAACCTGTCGCCACCTTACACCTTTCAGGAAAACACACCAGTTTAGTACCTTTAGCCTCTAAGGCTGTACGGATATTTTTACTTCTACTAAAAAGTGTTGTTTGGAAGACGTACTGCTGGGAAACAAGTAAGAACAAGTAGGCCATTCATGATTTTAGTATGCTGTTTACTCAAAATTCCTGTTTAGCTGCTTTACAGTAAAAGCTTTTCAGTGAAGACAAATGACTTTGGCTTTTATAATGAAGTAGCTGCAGAAGTCGTTAAGCTATACAATTCCAGAGGGTACTATCGTAGCTTATTTGAGTTTAGTTGAGTGGTAAAAGAGGCTGATGGTTTTAATCAACAACAGGACTAAATTCGCCTGTTTCTGAGGAATAATCTCATATCTGTTGTCTCTGTAGCATGGCAGCTAAGCTTGGTTTACCTCCACACATCAGTGATAAAAGGAAAAGAGTGCGGGCACCCTCGCCCCATAAATGCTATTGGCAAACATGTATTTATGCGTCCCTTTGCAGCCCTTCAGTATCATTTAATTTCTTCTGTATGTTTCCAGCCCAGAACATGAGCAGTTTTTCAAGTGCTTTTGCTGCCTGCACAACCAGATGCACAGAATATAGCATTGACAATATAATGAATGTTTCAACTAATCAATAAATACTTCCCTGTTTTTAAAAGGTTCAAATTGTGAACAGAGTTCAGGTGAAATAGATAGATGGAAACAGATGACCGACAGATGAATATTTGTTTATACGATATTTCATGACACCACACTCCTACCTTCTGCCTAACTTGAACCACGGCCTTCCAGAAGTCCTTGGCTTCCACACGGTGGCAGTCGTCACACATCTGGTACTGGATGACAAACTCGACCACAAACACCTGCTGTAGGATAGCGCCATTCATCACCTGGAGAGGGAAAGATAGCAACAACTTACAACATATGCTCCAACGGCGAGGCAAACACCATGACAAAAACTCTGCGCTTACTCATTCATGTTACCATATCTGAGCCTTTTGGATATATCCGACCAGTGGGATCTGGAAACAGTATTATACAGACCCCCCCCCCCAAAGAAAAACACTAAGGAGCTGGCCCTGAAAAGCACAGGGCTCAGGTTCTCAATTAAAGGTCAAGGAGATGAGATGACAGGCACTGGCAAAACTCACATCCCTCAAACACACACAACTCAGTCAAGAACAGACGACTCCATTTTTAAGAGTTCATCTTGAAGTTGGTTGCATATATGCCACTTACAGCAGCTTCATGTGTGTTACACCTTGACATTTTTATTTTCACACATCTGTTAACCAAAAGGTTTAAATTCAAACATAAACTGTGCTTTCTTCCAATTATCACCTGAACAAATAACCCAGATAGCCTTTAGATGAAAAGCACATTGCCTATCTCAGGTCCCTAAAACTGTCTTTAATCCGTTAGTTTAAATGTCACGCTCCCACATTTATCACTTGCGCTCCGTTTTCTTACCTCTTTCTGAATGGTCACTTTCATCTTAATCCTTTTGGAGTGTGGCTCTGTCCAGAGGAAGCCAGCATCAATGAGACGCACCTGTGAGGAGTGAAGCGTTGTTGAATCCATGAAGTAGCATGAGCCCCAACTGAATATTCATTCTCACAGTACTGTGGTGAACATTGTCAAGACAAGTCAGACACATTGATTCATTCATGACAAACATCCTGCAAAGAATACTATAAACATGAACAACAATCTTTATTTTAGTTTGAACTGTTTTAAAAGGTGTAAATTCAACTTTGTGGTTATTATGAGGCCATAATTTCTTATATTGTATTAGACAGTATTAAATTAAATTTTTTTTTTTACTAAAATGACTTCTTTTTACAATTAACCATATTTTTAAAGAATATAATAAAAATAAGTATAAATAACAACAAGATGGGACTTAAACAAGCAGTTTATCCTCTACATCAAAATCATTGAATCCAAAGAGTAGGAGGAGACAGGGGGCTGGAATTTATACCTACGATATGTACATGTACACTTTAATCTGAGTGCAAGTATACTAGTAGGTGCGTTTGACTTCATGCAGCGCTGCCTTAACATGATGCATGCTGGACTTGCGGTATTTTTCTTTGCAATTGCCGCGAGAGTCATTGATCACAGCAAGCTCACGCAGGTAGAATGTGTCCGACTTGACAGCGCCGTTTTTATGCCCCGCCCCTGCAGTCACCTGCTGCTCACATTAGACTGTCAAGTCGGCGAAAGTCAGCCGCAGTCATCTCAAGTGCACCTACTGTCTTTTGTGAAGTTTAGAAAGAACCCCACTTACTTTGGTCATAGAGCTCTTAATCTTTTTCAGGCACAGGGCCAGCAGTTCCCTTGACTCCAGGGCACACTGCACCCAACTGGCTGGAGGCTGTAAGTACCTGCATGAAAGAGGAAGATGTACATTTAAGCCTCAACTTTCCCAATAAACTTTATCAAGAACATTTTGTACCTGAAAATGTTTTCTAGAGAGAAACAGTGAAATAATCTGTGAAACACACTGTAATAAAAATGTATTAAACTAACCTTTCACACTGCTTGCAGAAGTGCACTGTGACTTGCTTGGGAATCCCCTCTGAGATGTCTACCTGAGTACGCAGGCAGGCTACACACATGTTGGCTGGGTTGGGAGGAATGGGGACGCCACAGGTACAGCACAGGCTGGGGAGGAGTGACACAAATAGAAATTGATGTGGCATTTTACACCTCTATATAGTCTTTTCCCCACCTTTCCCCATTTGTTTCTGTTCCCTTTAGCATGCCATGCAAGTCAAACAGTTCATTTTTACATGAGATCATGAACAATGAACATTTTGATGTCTAAGGTTTTGTTGCAACTGCATTGTCGTTGTTGAAATTACGTAGTGTGTAGAAAACTCTGCCTAGTTGCTGTGTTACAGAGCATGTGGGAAACTTGGACATTGGAGACTTAAGAACTAGCACACTATCAGCAACCTGTCTTGTCAAAGAAGTTACCAAATTCATGTGTCCCAAATCTTATTCACCCATAAAACTTCATAAAGGTTGCTCTCAGCAGCTTAGCCAAGAACTTTTGTAGGAAACGTTAACATACTTTGTGACATTTTTCAATTATGCTTTCAACTGTAATACAAGGATCTAATTTTACCTTTGATAGATTATCAGATCTCCTTACAGGTAGATTATTATTCTGTTTGTCTTTCTTTAAAACTACTACAGAGGGGAAAGTGTCTGCTTTAATTAGGGCTGAGCAATAAAACAATGATACTGATCGCAAAAGAGCACTATAACAAATGTTCAATAAATGTTTTACTTAATTCATTTGAAACATGAACGAATTAGCCCTTACTATTAAGATATTTGTTTGGTTGAGAAACAGGGACTGAAAGTAGATTTTACTTAATTTTAGTCTTGCATATTTGTTGAAAAAATATAAAAATTGTTTTCAATGATCTACCTTAGATATGTTAAGTCATAACCATAAAAGAGCAGCTTAAAACCACAATTAACAATCTGGTTTCTTCAACTTTCCCCCAGGAGCAAAAATCAGCCTTTAAACTTTAAAGAAATAATGATTTGACATTTATCATGATATTTATCAATATCGAATGATATCAAATTTTTTATCATGATAGCATTTTTGCCCACATCGCCCCGCCCTACATCTGTCAATAAGGTAAACAACTGACAAGCATTTCTCATTGACAACATTTTGACTTAGCAAACAAATGTCAAAATGTCAGTCTTGATTAGGTCTATAATGTGTCAGGATCAACACGCAATACTTAAAATGTAAATGAAAAGACCCTTATTTTTTTCACTTACATATTCCCCTGGCTGCTTGTGGCAGGAGCTTGCATGTACTCCATTCTAGTCAACTAGACAGCTCAGTGTTCAGACAGGTCAGTGGATCTTTGTGTAGCCCAATAATCTCTGTGGACAGAAAACAACAGGACCCGTCAACGATAAAGCACAGCTTTGACTGCAGCAAGACTGATAGTACTAGGGAATAGCTAACGTTAGCTGGGAGCACAGTCTAACGACTACTTACAGCACCAACTGTTTCTAACAGCAGTTCAATAATAAATGGTCTCATTGTTGTTACAAGTTTAAACTCAGAAATAGATAGGCAGTTATAAAGACTGCTAGATCATTGAGAAGTTGCACTGCAGGCTCTCTGCACTAAAATCAGTATCAGACAGTTAGCATTAGAGGCTAACCTGCTAGTTTTCACGAGTGATTCTAGCTGATATTCGTGAAGAAACAAGCGCACAATGTCAACCGAAAGTATTCTATAACTAGAATTGTTACAAGCGAGCGATGACAAAACTTATTGGAGTTATTTTGATGGTAAATCCACAACATACCGTGAAGCAAAGTCCTCCACGTTTTCCCCACCGAGGACCGAGGGAGGCTTGATGACGTCGTGCAGGACTCAAGGACCCCGGGATTGTCTTTGCGTGCCTGAATAAATTTCCTTCAAAAAACACACAATTTTAATTGAAAAAGGTCAATAAACAAGAAAAGAAAAGAAGAACGGTCAAGAAAAATTTAAAAATAAAGTTTACAACTTTATTATTTAGGTCCAAATTTAGTCTAATGTATAGTCAAGTGAATTAATAACTTAAAAGGAAAATATTTTCGAGAAATGTATCCCACATTAGACTGTAAGACCTTAACTTGGACAGCAAACACTCGTCTACTCAGAGCTGAAGCTGAGTCTCTGAGCTGAGGGATCTGATTTGTAGTTTTTGATCATATTTAACTATTTCATCATTCTGACTGACTCAGGCTTGCCTGACCTGGTCTTGTTCAGCCTTACTTATACATACTTACGGTAAGAGGCAGGTGTCATAAAAAGTTTCTTGAAGGTCTTCATCATAATGAAACTTTCTGTACACAAGTACAAAACTATATATTAAAATAACTGCAAAAAATCTTTCTCCGCGCCCCCAACTCGGCGCTCGTATTAAAGGCATTCTGTCTCAAAGTCCTGGGCTGAATTTCAGTCCCAATAGTACATCCCTGCTTTGATAGCATTCCTTATGTGCATGTAGGTTTGTTTTAATGAATCACACTGCCTGGACCTATTTGCAAATAATTTTAGCAATGATTTTTTAGGAGGGAGTGTCTAGTAGGCTACTATTTATTTGACTGTTTTTGTTTGAGTTAAGTGTCACTTAGTAACGTAAAACCATTTATAGGGCTTGAACTTTCATGACCCCTCAAAATTTAAAATACAGAACTGAACCTCAACATTCATAACCAAAACCTGCATTTATTTTCCCTCTAGCTATGGCCAGATTAACTTGCCTGGAGGGCCTGGAGCAAAATGAGATGCTGGCACCCACTAACCCCTCCCTCTCTCTCAGATCCAGTCACATTTCTCTTATGCTGGAAAAAGAGAAGATAAGATAGACTTTATTGATCCCACACTGGGGAAATTCACTTGTTAAAGCAGTTCCAGACACAACACAACAGATATGAAACACAACACACATGAAATAAAGGAAATATAATAAGGAAATTATGTAATATGGAATATTACATGACCTAAAGTTTGCTGTGGGGTGTTTTGATTATTATCTTGGAATATGCACCATGTAAGCACAAAACTAATGAGGAAGACTAGATTTTGACGAAAGGACCCTCCACAAGACAGGTAGGCTAATCAATGCACCGCCCTGTCAGTTGGCCCTGTCAGTTGACATTTGGCTTTAGTCAGGAATATTCTAATTACAGTTAATGTTGTCAAATATTAGCACTCAAGTTTGGGATTTTTTTTCAGACAGAACTATCAGACTCAGGTTATTAATAAGTAGCCTAATCAATCAACGTTCTTTGTGCGCACCTGCGCTCCTACAGCATGGAAGCTCTGTGGATGCCTTCACATGGTATCGGAAATATCTAGTATTAACAATTGTGTCTTAATAGTTAGTGAAAAATGACAGGAAACGTGTGAATACTTACAGCTACGCTAAGTTTAGCATAGAAGCTTAGAAGCCATGTCGAAAATTTATGTTAGCCTAAACGTGTTATGGTCTTTTTTACGGGCCATTCATCCATCCATCCTTAACCGCTTATCCCGCCTACCTTAAACTTTTTAGTTTTTTTAGTGTTTTTTCAGAACTAAATAGAAACTAACTGAATTGTGCTGGAGCTCTGTTACTGCTTCAGCTTAAGTCTAAGGCTACCCATTGTAACCGCCAGTGATGTTTGTGGGTCCAAAATGTGTGTGTGTGTGTGGGGGGGGGGGGGGTCCTAAAGTAGCCTATCCGATACCAACGCTCTAGAAGATAGGCTACTCATATAGAAGGATCGATATCCAAACTCAGTAAATTGGAGTGAATGTGTGTTTTATTATAAGTATCTTACTGTCACCAGGATGGTCTAACTACTTGGTTGATAGGAACTACTTTTCCTTCTGCCTGTTACAGTCATGCTTGCCCTAAGGCTCTGTGACGGATCTTCTTTGAAGTGAGCCGCTGCAGCCCTTTACATTTCCAGTGATTGAATACTGACTGTAAAAACAGTAATTTCTGGCTGTATTTTAGCTGTGAAGGTAATAATGTTGGTCTGTGTGATGTGTGTGCAAAGACAGTGTAATACTTTGTTAACACCGTAAACTTTGCTAAACATCTGAGATTAAGTCAAAATAATATGATGATGTTATGAAGCAGCAGTTCTGAGCAGGATATTTTCATTATAATTAAGGAATATGACAGTAGTTTGATATCTTGTCATTATGCAGCTATTATTTTGAATTTTTATTATTGAATTATATTTGAATTAAAGACTCCTTTAATTTAACAGTTAAATGAGTCTATAGTCTCTCAGGCTTACGAGCTGCCCCTGAATGCAGCACCACTGTTTGGTCAGGCAGCAGCAGAGTCGCAGCCAGTGTGGCAGCTGGGAATGTGAGGGTTTCAACCTTCAATACAGACCGCTATTTTCAGGATAGGGGACAGTAGCAGCAGGGCTTCGTCCCACAGCTCGACTCCAGCCAGCACACTCGCTTAATTTGAAGTCCAAGCGTGCGACCTGCGTTTTCTGTCAGGGGTGTCGGCGCTCTCGGACCGCATCCGATGGTCAACGGACAGCCGTTGGTGGCTCACTGCGGGGCTGCACGCTAGAGGGAACAAGCCGGAGCACCCCCGGTCTGTGTACGTACGCCAACACGTTAACTCCTGCTCGGCGTGTCCGGTAAAGAATGCAGTGAAGTGTCACGGGTTTAGTCAGTACAATCTTTGATGTATCCCGGTGTGCAACGCTCGGTTAAATGTGCCTGTTTCACCGCTACCAAACCACTCACGCCAACGACTATGGACTGAAACCTGCGGCGGGGGCGAGCGACACACAACCTGCCGCGATTTCCTGCATGTGAATAAATAAATGATAGAGGATACAATGACCCTGCTGTCTCTGTTAGGTCGGATCATGCGTTATTTTCTTCTCAGACCGGAGACCTTGTTCCTGCTGTGTATCAGCCTGGCTCTGTGGAGTTACTTCTTCCATACGGACGAAGTGAAGACCATCGTCAAGTCCAGCCGGGATGCGGTCAAGATGGTCAAGGGGAAAGTGGCCGAGATGATGCAAAACGAGCGGTTCGGTGGGCTGGATGTGCTGGACGCCGAGTTCTCCAAGACCTGGGAGTTAAAGAGCAACAACGTGGCCGTGTACTCCATCCAAGGCCGGCGAGACCACATGGAAGACCGGTTCGAGGTGCTCACCGACATCGTCAACAAGAGTCACCCATCCATATTTGGGGTTTTTGATGGCCATGGAGGAGAGGTGAGGTGTCTACTTACCGCATCCAGTCTACATTACTCCTCACTCTGTCTCTCCAACACATGCACACATGTGGGGGTACCCCGGGGCCCTAAAGTGCCTGGATTAAGATGCACCAAGTAATCTAAAAGTGTGTATTTATCAGTGTTTTTGGTCTGGTTTTGGAAGCAGTTTTTAAACAAGACCAGAGTCTTTCAAAACTGCTGTCAAAAAAGTATTAAATCTGCATGGAAGACAGAGTGTAGCAAACCAAAAAATCTGCTTCTTGGATGTTGGAAAGGGAATTTTTAAGAAGAAGAAATTATCCTCATTATGACTGCAACTAACAATTAATACATTCTTCAATGATTAAATTAATAAGCAGCCTTATCAAATGTTAAAAATGATGTCAAATGACCATCAGAAGTGGTCAGAGCTGAGTTACTGCTGCTTAGCCTGTTCTTCTGACCAGCTGACAGGTTCATCTTTTCAGATCAAATGTTTGATCAAGCATCAGATGTGTGATCAAGTTGTGGATATTTGCAGGGCTGGATCAACCTGCCAGGGGGGCAACACTGAGCTGCTGGGCCCTTTAATACACAAAGTCCCCATTCCTCACACTGTTTTAAACAATGTGGATATTTTTTACTACCCAACCCCAGATTTGCTGTATGGTAACTGGAATAAATGCCCAAAATGCCCAAAACTGAAATACTGAAGGACTTTTAAACTAAATTTTCACACAAAGACCCTCTTTAAGACATGGCCTCAAGATCAGGTAAGAAAGCAGGACCTACTTTAAGGCCCTTTTCATTCCGTTGAAATGTGTGCGGTAGTGCTGCATATTTCCATACAAGTTTTCACTTGAATTAAGACAAACAAGGTGACGCACAGCAAGACTGGAGCTATCGGGGCCCCTCTGGGGCAATTGGTAATCCACCCTTGAGCATTGAGTTTTTGTGGATAAGTGGAAACCGGGACCCCTACTGTGCATAGGAGCCCATAATTTCTTGCTACAGCTCTGTACACACATGCACCCACACTTACTCTGTTCTCTTCCAAATGGCAAGGCAACTGCATCATGTCTATTCACAGCTTAAAAATCATGCCAGAAATATCCATCTCTCATATTTCTTTGCCAAAACAACATTTTTAGGATGCAGACAGCATAGGCCCCATGGTCTAACATGATTATAGCTGGAAGGAGGAGGATGCACTCAAATCAGCATGCTTCAGAGGCATAAGTACAGCTAGCTGAGCTCAGTATTATGAGCAAAGCATATCTGGAGTTGGTCATTAGATCACTTATTTGCTGGCCACGTCCACCCCCTGTCAATACTTGTTGGCAGCTGAGAAATCTCCCTTCTTTCTGCTTCCTTGGTGCAAACTAATGTTGTTGACACAAGTGCATGTACGTGGTAGTGCGTTCAGGGCAGCAAGGGAACTGCTTTGCAAAGCCGCTCACACTGAGACCCTTAAAAAAAGTTGTCAGTTAAAGGGACAAAGAGCATTTGAGATGATGCCACGGCTGGACGGGAACATGAAAACACTGATATCATGAGGTCATGGCATGCTTGAAAACTGGCATTGTCTCTTAGGACTTTCGCCCATGACCTCAGCTGACAGTATTGATGCAACAGAGCCACATAGAAAACTGTAAGTGACAGGGTATCCCATTTTGCTCTGTCTCTCAACTTCTCTTCCCTTCCAGAAGCATGTACATTAGACATTATACAGTTTTTGATCAGCCAGTTCTGGTTGCAGAGGAGCCCCATGCTGTTTTGGGCCTGACAGCGACTGTCTTCATTCTGAGTTTGACTGGTCTGATTGAGGCTGAACGATAACATGCTAAAAATAGGCAGCCAAAGGCATAGAGGATAGCTGTTCTTTTAGGGGAAATTAAATTTTAGTCCGTGGTGCTGACTGCTGCAGCTTTTGACCAAAAGTGGTCATTGGATTGTTTTTCCCTGCGGTCTTCTTCCCTCTGTGGAGTTTCTTTTTAGAGGCTGGTGACCTAACCTGTGAGCCCTGCTACAGCTACCACACACATGGTTAAGAGATTAGGAGAAATGGTGAATAGAAGATAAATATGTTTTTGACAGAAAAAGGAGAAAACGAGTGGGAGAGCATAAATGGTGAGAGAGTGTTCAGATTTGCCCATGTAGGCGAGAGGCTGTTTTATCACTGCATGTCCATGGGCAACAATTTGGTCTGTCTTCATTCCCACGCCCTCTTTTGAAGTGTGTGTGAAATGGTTGCCAGAAAGCAGGCTTCTGAAACAACTTCCTTCTAATTTTTTATTTTTTATTTTTTTTGTAAGGCGTTGAAGAAAGCAGAGAGATGCTGTGTGGCCCAAGGCAACCCCAGGAATACTGGCTGCCTCAGCTGGCTAGTTAGTGAGGTGTCAGCCGCTTCCATTTCATTGCGCACACACTCAACCAAACCACATACACACTCATTAAAGCAATGTCGGACTTGTGTCAACATCTATCTAGCATAGAAGACTTTGCATCAACATCAACAGGTCTTGGACACTGTAAGGGACAGAAATACATTTTCACTGGGGAGCGAGTGTGCCAACTAAAAAGAACAGACTCCACAAAAGCATCCAGGCAAAAGATAGTGGATCCAAATGCAATTAGGTCTGCAGCTAATGATTATTTTTATCATTGATTCATTTGTCGGCGACGAGACTCAACATGCAACTCTTGGTAAAACCACAAATTGTCGTTTTACATTCTGGTTGTGTATGGGTTAAACAAACGAGGTCTATGTAGATTAGTAGGTGGTGGGTGTACTTGTCACTTTTGACAGAGACAGGCCAGCTATTTCCCCCTGGTTCCAGTCGGTAAACTAAGCTAATCTCCACTTGGGTCTATAGCTGCATACCTGTCGTGCAAACATGAGTGGTATTGAGCTTCTCATCTGTCTCTCTTCAAGAAAGCTTATTTCTCAAAATGTCAAAGTATACCTAACAGTGTCAATCTGCATTACTGTCGTGGTCCTGGGTGGTTTGAATCCTGTGATGTGAGTCCAGCATGTTGGAGGATAGGAAGTTTTACCAGAAAACTGAATCCTTAAGTTCTACCCTGTCGCTCTTCTGCCGCCTTGACAGAGAGGGTGTTGATGGTTGACTACCAGATAAATCATAAGTCAGTGCTAAATAACATCTAGAAATAACCTTTTTTCTTTCTCTCTCGCCGCACCGCACACACGCACGCATGCACGCACGCACGCACGCACACACCAACTCAAATTACATTTTTAAAGTATTAAAAATCAGTGTTTAATGGGAACATATCCATTGGCGGTCTCAGTCATATTATTGGCTCAGAGAGGGGATTTGTCTGTTAAAATGGAGATTGATTTTTAGCTGACTTATGGGAATAACCTACTTGAAAAGTGATAACCCTGGGCTCTCCATCCATATAAAGGCAACATGAGCCATTTGTTCCTTACTGGCATGTAGAGCGTCAGCCAGTACTCTGCTCCTTCCTGCCTCAGTGTCAGGTTGTGGCTTCAGGCGCTGCATATTACCTGAACAGTAGAGGATAGTTTAACTTAAGTGCGGGCAGCTTTTCTGTTTTGCCATCCTTTTAGCTTTTGTTCTGTTGATTTTCTTTTTCTATCACTGCTCAGTCATTTATTTTTTCGATCAGTGGGTTTGTGAGTGGGTTGTGGTAGATATGGCCTCTTAACTGTGGAGGAGGCGATGCAAGAGTGTAGAATAAAGAAGCTGGGAAAACCGCAGGGACAATGACCATTTTTAGAGGGATCCTCTGTCTTTTTTTCAGCTCTTTGCTTGTCTGCAGTTAAGCTTTGCTTCACATTCAGGCTGAATGGCCATTTTATTTTCAGCTTCATTATTTATTTCTTGAATTGCAAAGTAGACAGTACTTTTGAGAGCAATTGAAGCATAGCTCACCTTCTTTGGCACTTCACAGTGAAGGACATTTATCATCAGAAAGGCTGGTTTTTGAATTTAAGGTATTTTAATGTGCTTATGTGCATGTTTGTGTTTTACTCCAGGATGGGGTGGTTTCTGTAGTTTAGATGCTAAGCAGTTTGAATTCCCCTCAGTTTTCTCTCACCAGAGAGATGAAAGAAAGAGCCGGCATGTGACTAATTGCACTGTTGGCATTACAGGATTTGAGAGAGAGCAAACGAAGAGAGGGGGTGTGTGAAGGCGACCAAGGACGTGTGTGTGTGTGTGTGTGTGTGTGTGTCTGAGAGTATGAATATTTATGTGCGGGTTGCAAGCTTTCACAAGAAGTACACTGCTTCTCCTTCATGGACGTTGAGGATTCAGACAGAGATGAGAGGGGCAGTTTGGTTTTATCTGGTCTTCCAGGCAGAGTCTATACTTCACTGTGAGAGACTGAAATGCCAAAGGCCTATCAGGACCAGACACCTGCATCACACTATTATACATCACGTTGTCAATCCGTGTCCCCCAGCAATTTTATAAAATAGACTTAACAGGCACTCATTTTGAAATAAATGACATCAACTAAATTAATTAAGATGGTCAATTGTATAAAAGTTATATTCAGCTATATTCAGTATTTTTATATTGACACTGGATCACGTGGCTTCATGTGAAAGGGCTTGCCCGCAGTGATGGACTAACAGAAAATTATCACACAGATCTGCAGTTTCCTTCAGCTCTACGGAGCTTTATAGCATCTTTTGGCTCATTGTTTGGTTTTTATGGCTCACAACTTTGCTGTTATGGTTAGTTTTCTGACATATCAGGCAGGCAGTTTCAGTAAAATATGTCTGTACACTACCTTCACAACACCAAATGGCAGACGGACAAAGTTAGCGAGTAGGGGAGCATTTAGCAACTAAAGAGCCAGATATTTCCCTTAGGAGTTGGTGAAGACCAAAAATAAATCTAAAAGAGAGTGAATATTGGACTTACCTTCATCAGGTGGTCGCAAGCACCACTCCAAACTGCTGGATGTGTAAATAGGAAATAATTCACACTCTTTCCATAACTTTAAAGGTGATAAATATGTCAA